GTTTTATAGTTTTATATTGTAATGTAGTTTAATAATTAAGACGAGGGCCACAAGTTTATAAGTGTAATCACTTTTTCATGTTACCCTCTTTAAATAAAGTCTTTACTTACGTTACTAAAAAATCTCTTATTTCACATATAGTGATAGTGAGAGACTTTGCATAGCCTCCCTAGCCGGAGAGCCTGACACCAAGTACAAGAGTGTGAGTTTTTTTAAAAAGAGTGACGACCACCATTTCTTAGTTGTGGTCATGTACATATATTGAAACCTTTAGATTTTTCTTAAATTGGAAATTGACTACTGTACAATTCAGTGTTAAACTCAGGCACAGAACCAATTTTAAAACTAGTACCCATACTCATAGTGAGATCTAAAGGCCACTAATGATAATGTATATGGCATGTCCACTCCACACTCCTTACAACTATATCTACAGTAATATTCTAAACACACAACTCTCGATCAACCACACATGAGCAATGTTGATTTTGCAGTATGAGGACAACTAGAAAATCTAAAGAAATACCCTCGTAGTAAGGGAGAGGACAACACTCCAAACAAATTCTTTTCATCAATTTGGTCAGCAGTAATCGAAACACAGACCCAACTCATAAGACTCACAACTCACAACTCATAAGACTCACAGTTGTGAAATTCAAACATTTTACTGCTATAAAACCCTCGCCACCCTTGAAAAATAAAGTAGTACATGAGAGCTAGACAGAACATTTAGCAGTTAAATGAATTTWCCAACTGTTTATACCAACTGTTACATAAATACTCACATGTGTACTAACATAATACTTCTTTGTAGATCTCTTAACATCACTAAGCTACTACCAATGAACATACCATATTTTACTATAAAGGTAAACCAAAACTTTATCCAGCTACGGTTAAGCCATAGTAAACATTGAGTAAGATCATAAGAACTGCATACCAAAATTAGTTTATATTTATAGCATCAATGCTTTATACTGATAAACTACTTATTTGAAATTTGATAAACCAAACTTTTTTCCATTTCAATTATTAGTCACACTGTCAACTTCTGTCAATCATTTTTTGAACAGTTATTAAAAGAGATGAAATTTAAGGTAGTTTTTATATTACGAGATTATTAGGTTTAGTGTCTTTGGGAAACCCTAATAAACTCACTTTCAAAATGAATTCAACTTTCTTTCTTTGCTTATGATAATAAAGCGCAATTTTTCAATGATAATTCAATYAGCTTATAACAGAGATAACAGAAATCTTAAAAGCCAAAGCAGTTTGTGTACATATAATGCTTTTTTTCAAGTGTTAATGTCTTGAAAAAATTCACTCAAACAGAAGTCAACTGTCTTTGACATTTTGTCGGGGTTTGTCTGACAAACTAGTTTTTCAAATCGTTTGAAATTATAAGTACGAGCAGCAACGATTATAAATATCAGCTTTAGAAGCGTGTAAGGTGTCATTACGAACTTTTAAATTAGTCAAAACACTACATTTTCGGTTGTGAAGAAGACAAAAAAAATAGGTTCGTAGCACTCGTGTTTAAACGAAATGACCTTGCAAAGGATACGAATATGCACCTTTTATCATGCTGTACAGTCATCATTCGCCAGGTATATCCACCAAGGTTCGCCAGTGTAGCATKTTTGACCAGTAATTCATGGATTAATGGGTATTAAGCAAAGATTTTCGTAGTTTTAATGGCGGGTTTTTCTGTTGTTGTCCTCTTCTTGGCAACAAATCGACGACATGTTTACTGGCGRCCCGACAGGAACCATGGGATACGGGGAGCCTGGGACAACACACAGGAAGCCCGACTAATTGGAATGTATAAAGAGAAACTGCGAGGAAGCAAAGGGCAAAGTTAGTGTTTATTCGCTATTTTTTATTTTTTTTTTTATTTTATTATTTTTTATTAATTTTTTAAAGCTTCTCTAAATATTTAAGGAGAGATCGAAGAACGGCCTCAAATCGCGCTGAAACTTCGCCCTGAAAACTGAACAAAGTATTAGGGATGAGGGCAAAACATTGTCATCTCACGGGACCCGATTTAGGGGGGAGGGGTGGTGAAACTCGGTACCCACCACCTCTGGAAGTGGAATCTTAGATTTTGTCCCCAAATATCTCCAAAACTAAAAGCCAAATCACAGAAATGAATGGACTGTCTGTCTGCATGTATGCTAAAAAACAAATTTGTGTATAGAAATTGCCACTACAGACCCCCAGTATCGAGCATTTGAAGAGTCCTGAGGGGGGAGGGGTATGTACCGGTACCCACCACTTTAATTCATAAAATCGGGTCCCTATTTTGGAYCATTGTTTTGACCTCGCCCCTAAAAGCAACGACTGTCAAGTTTTGAGGCAAATTGTTGAGCGGAAACTTTTAATTGTCACTGATGACTTTATCATAACTCCCATACATTCTCTTATAAACCATACACAGGAACCTTGTTTGGTATGCCTGTGCTTTATTTTAAGATTTTTTCCGGGATTGCTAATAGAGTATCCAAAGCCTTTTCAAAAATACTTTTTCCCCCTTATACAAGATACTTTCGATTTCAAGATACGAGGCAGATGACATTTGCTTGCGCTCAAGCAGAGCCTTCAACAAAGGGACCTTGAGCTGAATTGATTCGTTATCAAAGTCATATTTCAGCACGTAACTGTTTGTTGCAAAAATAAATGATGACTATTTCAGTTACCGGCACCTTTAATTTTGTTTAGCCATCGTTTTTTTTTTTTTTTTGTTCTTTACTAGCTCAAAGTTTAGAAGTTTGTCTATCATGATACATCGTAACAGGTTTGTCATTCAATTCAACAGCGTCTGTTGAACCAGCTGTGCAAGACTCACTTGCTTGAAACAGTTTCTTCAAAGCGCATCTAAAATCTTCAAGGAAAACAACGTAGACTACAGGACTGAATGCTGAATTGGCCGCGTGAAGAGTAATAGCAATAGAACCCATGATGCGAATAGTTGCAAAACAATCTGACCGCAGCCGGCTGAATATCTTCCTGCTGATCGAAGACAACGTGTATAGAATGTTYAACGGTGTCCAGAGGATGATATATAACAGTAATGAGCACAGGACCATTCTCACAGCATTCCTGATTCGCAAATCTCTTRCTTTTCTTTGTAAAGGTGGAAGATTAACAGTTATTTGTTCTTGACTAAGTTTCCTTAGGATAAGGACGTTAATGATCAATATGAGTAGGAATATTAATAGGGRAAATGATGCTTGAACGACGTAATAATAGAAATTGAGTGTACTTTCAATATAGTCACATATCATGATCTCATTCGGCTTGCTTCGTGTCAGCATAACAAGATCATAGGCGTAAACCCCAAGGGSTACGCCCCATGTGCCTGCGATCAATAAGGTCAGCTTCTTCGTTGACAAGGGTGTTACTGTCATGGGCGTAAAAACAGCGCGATAACGAGTAATACTGATTATCAACAAGGTAAWTAAAGATACCATTGGTCCAACACCATAAACGAAATAAAAAACCTTACAGGCAAGTTCTCCCGATTCTGGGGTGAATGTTCTTGATTCCATCAAGGCCGTTAACAAGTCATCCACGAGCACAAGAGAGTCAGAAATGGCAAGATTCCCAATTAAGGTGTTTATATTTTTCCTCATATGTTGATTTTTGTAGACGATTAAAACCACCAAGAAATTCCCAACTAATCCAAACAGCACCACTAGAGCAAGAACTGTCATGTTCACCACTTCTGGCAATGAGATTTTTTTAACGGAACAAGTTTCTGTAACATTTTGTTCTTCGTTAGTTACACTGAGCAGAAATGTACCATTGTTGTCCATCGTTTTTGACTCTCGACGAAGATTAAATATTAAGCTCCTAGATCTCTCTTTTTAGTTTTTTGCTTKACTTGTTATAGATCTTGTGCTTTAGAGACTCTTCTCTTCAACCAAGAAGTTGAGCTTTTAATTATTTTCTCCCAAATTACGGAATGACTGGATATTGGCCACGATGATGGAGCTATTTTCCGTTCACGTTCTGTTTCATCTGCAGCTAGGACGGATATATTTCATATCGTGTTCTCAGTGTTGAAGTAGGAATTTATTTCAAAACGATGTAGTGAATCTTCGCAGCACTATGTTTGGTTTGACGAATAATCTAAAAGTGATCTTATTAAGTCTCTATCCTTTCTGAGAGAAAATCAATTATTCAGGCATTAATTCGTACACCTGCCGTCGTCAAAATCATTATACAATTGGTGAATGTTCATTAAGTCCACTTGCAGTAAAAAAGGTTCGTTGCATGTGAAAGATAACACGCAGCGTGTTCAAAATCAATTACTCTTTTATTACTCACTCATTATTCAAGATTAGCTCACACGGATGTCTCTGCCATTGGCATTTCCTCTCTTCAAATTAATTATAATCGAGTTTTAGTTTGATTTAGTGAATCTTTGAATCTTTTTAAAATTGCGCTTTAGTAAATATAGACGACCATGGTTTAAATTATAATTTGTGTACCAAGATCTTGTTACACATTTTTTTTATAGAAACATAAGTAAAAATGATTTGTTCTTGTTTTAGAAGGCTTGAAAAAAACTTTTTGCCTTTCGGTATAGTTAATGGTTTTTTTGTTGTTCATATTTAAACTTGGGTATGGCTATGAAGAATCCTGGGTGCTATTGTCCAATTTGTTAATTTAGCCTCTAAAAAAACATTTTTGTGTATAACAAAAAATGGGGTTCAAAATGGTCAAATCATAAATTTTTCTCRCAAAGCTAAATAATGAATGGAGTAAGGCCTAGGGCAAACGTCGAGCTTTCCATGCACCGAACTCATTAAAAACAATGGATATCAGGTGATAATGAGGCGGCATTCTTGATGCAATTAAGTTCGGTGCATGGGAAGTTCGACGTTTGCCCWAGGCCTAAAATATCCCCAGCATTAGTATAAATTGTATTTCTGACTGACAGGGCACAACATAAACATTTTTGATTATTAATCTCTTTTTAATTTATTTAATTATTTAATTGCTCATTATTTATATTTAGTAATTGCAGTTGTAAATGATAAATAATGAATGATAAAGATAAAAAAAGCAATTTATTGGTGAAGAATTTGTTTAATCAAGTAGAAACGTATTCTACTTGTTGTACATGTAATTTGTCATCACTGTACGAAATCTRTAAGCTGCTAGTATTAATGTTGAATTTTATTTATTATTATTGTTAAGGATTGTTTAAACAGGATTCCAGTAATCCTTTTTCATTCGATCATCTTAAAACCCGGAGGGAGGGGGGGGGGGGGCTGACTCCGGGGTAAGGCCCCCCCAGGGTTTTTAAGATGAATGAAAAAGAATCACCGAAATCCTGTTTAAAAAAAGCGTCGCGAAAAATAAATCGGAATCAGAGAAATACCAAAAACCGAGGTATTTTACCACTTGTCGACCAAAAGTAGTCCTGCACGCACTAATAAATGATATTTATATTATTAATACAATAGTGTGTACGTATGTACGTATGTATGATTGGTCGCATCTCAATAATCTCTTCTAATTGGAATAATTACTATACAGGGTGGTCGGAAAACCTAAATAGGTTTTACAAGATTGCCGTGTGCTTTACCCCCTCTACTCAAATATTTTACTCACATTCAGCGACTCCGGGTTGCGTAGCGGTGAGAGCGTTCGCCTCTCACCAATGCGACCCGGGTTCGAGTCCCGCTGAGCTCGGTGTCGTATGTGGGTATAATTACTGATCTTATCAAAATCCATTGTTTTCAGTCTGCATTATCCCAACAAATGCATAGAGGAAAATCAGACATTYATTATTGGCTTTGTTTCTATGATAAACAAGCTAGAAAGAAAACAATTGGATTTTGATAAGAACAATAATTATACTAGATAATCACTTCGGCTACGCCCTCAGCTGCCTGCATTATACCTACGAATGCTGCGTGCCTCAGTAATTATCTATTAAAAAGAGTTGTTTGTTGGTTCCCTCCTGTGCTTCGAGGGTCTTCCGGGTTCCCCGGCTTTCCTYCCTCCCTCCTCCGCAAATATCAACTCCTAAATTCCCATTGGAATTACTGTGGATGAATAGCTACTCTGTAGAAATGCCACTGCTAAGTCACATTTATTTATTTATTTTATTTTATTTATAGACTCCGAACCCGCTGCATTATTTAGCGGCGCACAGAACACTTGTGCTTTCTCATGGTGAAGCGGGTTGATTTTGAAAACCATGGGAAGATGGACAACGATGTGAACGGACTCAATTCACCGGACTTGATTCAAGTGAAATGCTTCATATCAGTCTCAGAGGCTGTCAGTTTGACAGGATTTACATAGAAAACAYGCTTAAAAGATCTTAAACGTTCAAAGTAACCGCGAACTGATGATATATTCACCCTACTATGTATATTTTAAAATGTTATCATCTTTTGCTGTCGGTTGTCATAGAGTTCATTCKGAAGTTCACAGTGGTTTGTATTTACATTCGATTCAGGAAGCTCAAGCTAAGAATTGTTTACATGATAGTGGCGTATCAGTAATGAATAATGTYCTTAACTAAATAACGTAATATACAATCATGATATTTGATTGGTAGATAGCCGATTGGTAGAATATGGATGGATTATGAGATTGCATAAGATTGGATGGAATAGGGTTGGAATAAATGAGATATATTGATGGATTCTTGGATTGATTCGATATATCAGAGGACGAATAGACCCTTCCGTGAGCCGCTTCACACACACTATACCACTACATTCGCTATAGTCACGCCCAACTGATATGTTGATTTTGACGGGGGGAGAAAAGCCGGATAGCGTACCCGAAGAAGCATTCTAATAATAACGGAGAGAACAACACATCAAACAAACTCAACTCACATATATGAGGTTTAGTGGAAAATCGAACCAATCACTCGTCATGCAGGCATGAATTACACAGCGGTGAGGGAGAGTACGATAGCTTCTCTTGCTATACCCCGGCTAACTAGCGCTATGCCAACATGGAAAAGATGTGAGATGAAATGCGTGATAGAAACGATAAGTTATGATATCGGATGGGATGGTTATATGAAATGTGCTGCCGGATCGAATAGGATCGAGAGATCGGAAGGTCTTCAATGTCCGCAATGCAGTCCATACGTTAAAAGTCCATATAGGACTTTTTAAAACCGAGGAAAATGTGAATCACTGCATAGTGATGTGTATAAAAACTCACTTGGGTATCAAACTGAACAAAATACAAATAAACGAGCGGGCGGGAGAATTGCTTTAACACTTGACGTTGTGCCTTTTGTCGCTTTTTGATTGGTTCACAGCGGAAACCATTTGAAAGCTCACGCTGTCTACCTTTCTCACTGCATAATAGACTATACGCTTCATCTATAGATTATACTCTAATTTAAGTTGCCATTCATTCAGTTTTACGATATAAAAACACTAAAGATGCTCCAATATTACCTATGTTATTCAACTGAATAGCTGTAGAAAGTTCATGTCTCAAATTAATTTCTGACGTGGAACCCATTCACTAAAAATACTTAACTAAGAGTTTGCTGTAATCAGGACGAAACGACGACAGTTTATAGTACAGTAGGTTGACTGACAAGTGAAGACTTAAATGTCACACTAATTGCTAAGTGAAGACGGCCCAAGATCAAATATTTGTTAACCGAATACGTGTGACTCTGCTTGTCAATTAAGAGTAGGCAAATATAAGGCAAAAGGTTTGGTGAAAGCCGCGACAAAACAACCATTTATCGGTAGCAAGGAAATCACGGCTATCGCAGCTTGTTTTGAGCGCGAATTCATCTAAAGAGAAAGGCAGCAAACATTATTCATACTAGTTGTAACTACAGTTTTGAAAGACG